GCAGGGTCAGGTGCCTTTTATAAACGGCCTCCCCACACCCTGCTTGTGTGCGCTCCCTAGGAGCACGCAGCACCGTGATCTGGTGCCCGCTGTGTCCTCCAGACACAGTGAAACACTGATCGTCGGACGGGACCTCTGTACAAGGTCCCGATCATGTGATCACTGATGATCACATGCAAAGTGGTAAGCAAGATGTCACTTGTACCATCATCGCTTACTACGTGTGAAATCTGTGAATGATCACAGAGGTCACATGGTACAAGGCTATTCACAACAGCCTTGTACCATGTGACAAGCTGTGACCAATCACAGCTCACTCAATACTTCTTAATGGCTGCAAGAATGCAGACAGAGAGAGAAATGGTTGCTTATTATTATTATACAGTATTTATAAAGCGCCAATAGTTCGCTCAGCGCTGTACATTACAGAGGGGGACAGAACATGTGGCAGAACAATACCAATACAATGCAAAACATGAGGGGATCGAGGGCCCTGCTCTTTCGAGCTTACAATCTAGGAATACATCCTATATGGGTGTAAAAGCAATCAGTGTAAAAAAAAAAAAAAATCTTCATCACCCCCCACAAGTAGTACAGTGTCACCATGGTGACACTGTACTGCTAGGGTGACAGTATGTAAAAAAAAAAATAAAAATTAAATAAAAATGTTTAAAAATTATAATTTTTTTGTTATAAACTAATTTGGATTTTTTTTTTTTTTTTTACTAAAAAGATAACGGAATACATTTTGGCCAAGATTTATGATGAAATATTATTTATTTGCAAAATTTTATAAAAAAAAAAAACCCTTTTTTTCAAGATTTTTAAACTTTCATTTACATAGCAAAAAAAATAAAAATCCCAGCGGTGAATAAATACCACCAAAATAAAGCTTTATCTGTCTCAAAAAAATGGTAAAAAATTAATTTGGGTACAGTGTTGCATGACCGCGCAATTGTCATTCAAAGTGTGATAGCGCTGAAAGCTGAAAATTGCCCTGGTTAGGAAGGGGGTAAAAGTGTCCGGACTGGAAGTGGTTAAAGGCTGCTCATTGACTGGCAACCATCCTCCAGTTCTTAAAAGTGTTGTTTTTTGGGATGTTAATGTTTTGTTGCTGTTTATCTTACATCTCCAGCTGCATTCGAAAGACTGATTCTCTCGTTGTTATTCCTGAGGGTCCTTGTATGGGAGAACCTGCTTCTCTTTCCACCATTTCTTGGTGGCTCAGGTCATTCAAGCCTGTAGGAATTAGAACAACGTTCCTAATTTTCCTGTCAAAGCGCACTCTACTAGATCTGTGAGCACTTCATGATCCTTTCAGCATCAAGCTTCCCGGATTTCAAGGCTGACACCTGGTCTTCCATTTCAAAGTCTCCAAGTTAAACCAGGTGGATGTTCAGGACTCAGCAGATGCCAGCTTTGGGCATAAGGTCCTTCAGACCACTTTTTGAGCTGCAACCAGCCTCCAGATCTTAATCCTGTTGTTTTGAGGAGTTGATAATGTTTTGTCGATGTTGACCTCCTCTCATTTGGACTGCTTTTATATATCCCAGTTGTTTAAGGATTACTTCTCATCCCATTTCCCTTAATGCACTTGTCTTGGAGCCTATTAACATGGTATTAAACCCAAAAACATAAATGCAATATATTCCAACTTACCAGTCATTAGATTCAGAAAAAATGAGGAAAGGTTGTAACAGCGCAAACACCCCAAAGTCCTGGGAAATAGTAGTATGGGGTGATCGTGGTATTAGTGGCTACTGTATGAAGAGCGTAGGATTCCATGTGGCACTGAGGGCCAGGCTTCCAAGTCATTAGATATGGTGGCTGCATTAGGTTTCTTTTTTTTTTTTTCTTTAGGCTTTTTCTCCTCTGGTGATCTGGTCCGTAACATACCTCCTGTATTAGAGTCTATAGTCTGGATGAAGAAGCACAGGGGGATGTCTTTGGACTGTCTATGGGGAGGGGAGTGTTAGATGTACTAGCAGATTTGCATACACTAACAAATTGAAGCCAAAATCCAGCTGATATTTTATAATCATTTACAGCAATCTGAGATACTGGGATAAACATTTTACATCATTGAATAGAAGATAATCATTGTAAGCATCCCTGTCAGTGGTAAATGGTTTGTCTCTTCCCTCTAACTGCTACTTATGCAGGTCAGCTTGTTCTTTTTAAAAACAACAGACTTACTGGCCAGATCACCAGGTGAAAATAAAGAGGTGGGGGGAACCTAAAAAAGAAAACAAATGCATCCGCCACATCTAATGATTGATAAGCTGCAATATAAATAAACATTATTGTTTGGGTTTATTACCACTTTAGAGGACACAGGTCCCACCCCTCTGTGTTTGTGATTTATTCCTAGTACTGCCTTTCTACAAAACTGAAGCACGATAGGAGTGAAGAGGTTCTATTTCGTTGGTCAGTGGCTGTTTTTTTTTTTCTGTGCGTGTCCAGTTCCTCCTGTAGGCAACAGTATATCTCCATTGTTTATAATAATTTCTTCTTATCCTGGTCACTTAACCACAAGCCTACCGGGCACTTCTACCCCTTCCTGCCCAGGCCAATTTCCAGCTTTCAGCGCTGTCGCATTTTGAATGACAATTGTGCGGTCATGCAACACTGTACTCATATGAAATTTTTATCATTTTTTTGTGACAGAGCTTTATTTTGGTGGTATTTAATCACCTCTGGGTTATTTTTTCTAAAACCAAAAACCACTGAAAATTTTGAAAAAAACCAAAATGTTTTTTCTTAGTTTTTGTTGTAAAATTTTGTAAATAAGTGATTTTTCTCCTTCACTGATGTGTGCTAATGAGGCTGCAGTGATGGACACTGATAAGCTGCACTGATGGGCACTGATGAGGAGGCACTGGTAGGTGGCACTAATGGGCATTGATAGGCATCACTGATGGGCACTGAAAGGCAGCACTGATACATGGCACTGATATATGGCACTGTTAGGCGGCACTGATAGGCGGCACTGACTGGCACTGATAAGTGGCACTGATTGGCAGCACTGATAGGTGGCATTAATAGGTGTCACTGACTGGCACTGATGGGTGACACTGAAAGGCAGCTCAGATGGACACTGATATGTGGCATTGATGTGCACTGGTATGCACATGATATGTGGCATTGATGCGGCACTGATGGACACTGACAGGTGGCACTGCTGGGGCTACACTGATCATCAGGGCACACTGATCATCAGTGCCCTGATGATCAGTGTACATGTCCCCTCCACGAAAAGCCGATTACCGGCTCTCCTCTCCTCTGTCAGCGTGACAGCACGAGAGGAGAGAAATGCCGATAACCGGCATTTCCCTGTTTACATGTGATCACGACATCTTCGGCTCTTTCCGTTGATCGGTGATCCGCTGTGTCCGAGGGACACAGCGCACCACCGATCGCCGCACTCCCTGAGCTGCGCATGCGCGGTGGTGAGAATGGGAAGACGTCATATGACGTCCTCCCGGAACGAGAGAACCACCTTGCGTCCGTCATATTACTATATGGTAGGAGGGAGGTGGTTAAACGGATTTTACAGTAAGTACAACAATCCTGTTCTATACTTCAACAGTGACTTTGATTATGTTGAGATGATGTCATCAGACTGCTGCTTTGAGGAGGGAGCTTTTCCTCAGTCTCCTTTCCCACCATGCTCAGACTGTACATTGTAACTTTACTAACAAGTCACAAGGGAAGAGGCTACAGCAGGGCTGACCTCTGTCACTCATGTGTCAACCAAGGACTGCACAGATTCCAGGACTTGCATGATTTTGTCATCTATGGGTTAGCTTCTCAGTCCAGAAAATAGATGGTGACCCTTGGTGATGCCTGAACAAAGATGGCTCTTGCTGCCTGGAGAGAAAAGCAGATGAAAGCATCGTCAGAGGTGTATTGTGATCTCTGTGAGAGGTTTCTGGACTTTTTGCACTTGCACATTATTTATCATTCATGTACTTAACCACTTCAAGTCCGGACACTTTTACCCCCTTCCTGCCCAGGCCAATTTTCAGCTTTCAGGGCTATCACACTTTGAATGACAATTGCGCGGTCATGCAACAGTGTACCCATATGAATTTTTTAGCATTGTTTTGAGACAGATAAAGCTTTATTTTGGTGGTATTTATTCACCACTGGGATTTTTTTTTTTTTGCTATGTGAATTAAAAAGTCCAAAAATTTTGAAAAAAAGTGTTTTTCTTAAACAATTTTGTAAATAAATAGTATTTCTTCATAAATCTTGGCCAAAAAATAACCCAAATTAGTTTATAACCAAAATTATAATTTAATTTTTTATTTTATTTTTTTATATTATTTTTTATTTATTTTTTTTACATACTGTCACCCTAGCAGTACAGTGTCACCATGGTGACACTGTACTACATGTGGGGGGTGATGAAGATTTTTTTTTTTTTTTTTTTTTTTTTACACTGATTGCTTTTACACCCATAAAGGATGTAAAAGCAATCATTTCTCTCTTCTCTCCAGCTGCATTCTTGCAGCCATTGAGAACTACTGAGTGAGCTTTGATTGGTCACAGAATGTCACATGGTACAAGGCTGTTGTGAATAGCCTTGTACCATGTGACCTCTGTGATCTTTCACAGGTAGTAAGCAATGATGTCACAAGTGACATCTCGCTTACTACTTTGCATGTGATCACTGATTGGCCAATCAGCGATCACATGATTAGGACAGAGATCCCGTCCGACGATCGGTGTTCCACTGTCTCCGGAGGATCGCGGTGCTGTGTGCTCCCAGGGAGCACGCACAAGCAGGGTGCGGGGAGGCCGTTTATAAACAGCCACCCGCCCCTGCACTGCCACCGTCCGGCTGTTTATATACAACGGCCGGGCGGGAGGTGGTTAACAGGAAAAAATATATTTGATGCTGGGTCCACTTTAACAATTTTAACATTGTCACACGTGGCTGTATTGTACACTAGAAAGCTGAGCACTAACTGGACAATTTTTTCCTTTTATTTCAGTGTCCGGTCCACCAACATAGTGCGTAATCTGGAGTCCATGCGGTGTTTACTGGCCGGCCTCTACCAGCAAAAGCAGGAAGGTCTGTACTTTGTAGATAGTAGTAATAGTTTATTCACAGTTAATGGGAATTTTTCAGTAATGTTGAAGACATTTCACAGCTTGTCCAGTCCACTTCCTCAGTTTAAATGAGTGTCAGGAAAATACCCCAACATAGGTAATATAGACACCTCCATTTAAACATCACCAAATGTGCCAAGGCAGATGTTGATTGTTTAAGATCAGGATGGGAGGTATGAGAATTGTGGAGCCACCCTGTTCTAGTTACTTAATTCCATCCTTGGTGTCAGGAAGACTTCATTATTATTATTATACAGGATTTATATAGCACCAACAGTTTGCTCAGCGCTTTACAATATAACGGAAGACAATACAGCAACTATACAGTTCAATACAAGAGGGATAGGAGGGCCCTGCTCCTTGGAGCTTACAATCTAGGAGGGAGGGGCTAGTGGTACAAAAGGTAGTAACTGTGGGGGATGGATTGGTTGGAAAAGTAGAAGATTTCAGTATTAGCTGAGGGCAGGATAGGCTTCCCTAAAGAGACAGGTTTTCAGAGATCGCCTAAAAGTGAGCAGAGTAGGCGATAGTCTGATAAATTGGGGTAGAGAGTTCCAGAGGATGGGGGAAGATCTGGAGAAGTCCTGGAGACGAGCATGGGAGGAGACATGGGTGTTAATCGTTTGATTCACTTGGCTGAAGGTGTGAATTGTCAAAATGCCAGGGTAGAGATTATAAAACTACATTACACTCACCGGCCACACCTTATTAGATACACCTGTTCAATTGCTTGGGAACACAAATTGCTAATCAGCCAATCACATGGCATCAACTTAATGCATTTAGGCATGTACACATGGTGAAGATGACTTGCTGAAGTTCAAATTGAGCATCAGAATAGGAAAGAAAGGGGATTTAAGTGGCTTTGAACATGGCATGGTTGTTGGTGCCAGATGGGCTGCTCTGTATTTCAAAAACTGCTGATCTACTGGGATTTTGGTACACAACCATCTCTAGGGTTTACAGAGAATGGTCCGAAAAAGAGAAAATATCCAGTGAGCGGCAGTTGTGTGGATGAAAATGCCTTGTTGATGTCAGAGGTGAGAGGAGAATGGGCAGACTGGTTGCTGCGACATTCAGATGGTAGGGTCTGAATTTGGCAGAAACAACATGAAAGCATGGATCCATCCTGCCTTGTATCAACAGCTCAGGCTGGTGGTGGTGTAATGGTGTGGGGGAGAGTTTTCTTGGCACTAGCAAGGTTAGAGTGGCCGGTGAGTGTATATGTAAGAGACAGAAGGATCCCACCCCTGTCCAGGGTGACTGCTACATTTTGACCTAGATGGTCTGTTTTGCGTTTTCTGCAAACAATTTGTCCCAAATCTGCTCCTCGCTGTCCTTATATGAATGTCTCTTTTGTGTCCTGACTGGTGGGATTTTCCCTCCTATATTGGTTCATTAACTTCTTGAGAGGTTGTCCTGTCTCCACAACGTGCAGATCTCTGCATTCCACACTACAGCGCACAAAACAACCTCCACAAACAAGTATACACCCACAGGATCTCAAGGACTTTTTTATACATTGAAGGAAAATGGATGTTCCTACGAGGACCATGAGACCGAGAACAACTGGTTCACAAGAGCTGTGAAAGAGGCAGTGCCAACCAGTGCCAGGTTTTCAGACTGCAGGGAAGACCTTAGTGGGGTTCAAGCCTTGCCTACCCTTCACAATAAAAAAACAAACAAAAAACAGTCTCTTGCTGCTAACTGGGTATAATTTGCATTTGTTTGTGGTAGAGGTAGCTTGTAAAATATTACGGATAAACATGTTACTCTTTGCTCAGGACCCATCACAATTGTCACGGATGAGGCCAGCAGTGAGATCCTCCACCCCAATTACCAAAGCTGCCAGAAGCTCAAACATCTGTCAAGGTGCGTTTGGACAATCTTCTTATTAGCATGGAACCGTATTGGTGGAAATGCAGGAAAATGTACTGACATTTGTTCAGTTTGTATTGAAACATTGCATGATTTTCTAGACTGTTCTAGGCTTATTATCTGCAAACCTTATTTTCTATCACATTCCTACAGCGGTGCTAAAACCTAAAAGCTGCAGCAGTCTAAAGGAAAAAAGCAATAAATAATGGTGCAGCGCTGAATAAATACTAAATCAATATAAAATCAAACTAATTCATAAATAGACATACTTTAGTAAAAAAAAAACAGGTGTATCAATAATTAATGCTCACACATATAATCAAAAAATATTAACCCCAACACTAGGATCATATTAAGTGAATAACATAATTCATGCATGTGTATAAAACACTCTGTGAAACAATTCAATCTATGTATATATATATATGTATATATGTATATATATATATACAGTGGGGATCGAAAGTTTGGGCACCCCAGCTAAAAATTTGTATTAATGTGCATAAAGAAGCCAAGGAAAGATGGAAAAATCTCCAAAAGGCATCAAATTACAGATTAGACATTCTTATAATATGTCAACAAAAGTTAGATTTTATTTCCATCATTTACACTTTCAAAATAACAGAAAACAAAAAAATGGCGTCTGCAAAAGTTTGGGCACCCTGCAGAATTTATAGCATGCACTGCCCCCTTTTCCAAGCTGAGACCTGCCAGTGTCATGGATTGTTCTCAATCATCGTCTGGGAAGACCAGGTGATGTCAATCTCAAAGGTTTTAAATGCCCAGACTCATCTGACCTTGCCCCAACAATCAGCACCATGGGTTCTTCTAAGCAGTTGTCTAGAAAACTGAAACTGAAAACAGTTGACGCTCACAAAGCTGGAGAAGGCTATAAGAAGCAAGATAGCAAAGCGTTTTCAGATGTCAATATCCTCTGTTCGGAATGTAATTAAGAAATGGCAGTCATCAGGAACAGTGGAAGTTAAAGCAACATCTGGTAGACCAAGAAAAATATCAGACAGAACAGCTCGCAGGATTGTGAGAAAAAACAATTCAAAACCCACGTTTGACTGCACGATCCCTCCAGAAAGATCTGGCAGACACTGGAGTTGTGGTCCACTATTCCACTATAAAGAGATACTTGTACAAATATGGTCTTCATGGAAGAGTCATCAGAAGAAAACCTCTTCTACGTCCTCACCACAAAAATCATCGTTTGAACTTTGCAAATGAACATATAGACAAGCCTGATGCATTTTGGAAACAAGATCAGTGGACCGATGAGGTTAAAATTTAACTTTTTGGTCGGAATGAGCAAAGGTACGTTTGGAGAAGAAGGGGCACAGAATTTAATGAAAAGAACCTCTGTCCAACTGTTAAGCATGGGGTTGGATCAATCATGCTTTGGGGTTGTGTTGCAGCCAGTGGCACAGGGAACAGCTCACGAGTAGAAGGAAAAATGGATTCAATAAAATTTCAGCAAATTTTGGATGGTAACTTGATGCCATCTGTGAAAAAGCTGAAGTTAAAGAGAGGATGGCTTCTACAAATGGATAATGATCCTAAACACACCTCGAAATCCACGGGGGATTACATCAAGAGGCGTAAACTGAAGGTTTTGCCATGGCCTTCACAATCTCCTGACCTCAACATAATTGAAAATCTATGGATAGACCTTAAAAGAGCCGTGCGTGACAGACAGCCCAGAAATCTCAAAGAACTGAAAGACTTTTGTAAGGAAGAATGGGCAAAGATACCTCAAACAAGAATTGAAAGACTCTTGGCTGGCTACAAAAAGCGTTTACAAGCTGTGATACTTGCCAAAGGGGGCAGTACAAGATATGAACTCTGCAGGGTGCCCAAACTTTTGCAGATGCCATTTTTTTGTTTTCTGTTATTTTGAAAGTGTAAATGATGGAAATAAAATCTAACTTTTGTTGACATATTATAAGAATGTGTAATCTGTAATTTGATGCCTTTTGGAGATTTTTCCATCTTTCCTTGGCTTCTTTATGCACATTAATACAAATTTTTAGCTGGGGTGCCCAAACTTTCGATCCCCACTGTATGTATATATATATATATATATATATATATATATATATATATAATATACACACATATACATGTATATATCCACTACAAACAAAATCCACACAATGTCCCAATGATATAGATATAAGTAAATCCGTGCTCCACAGCAATAACTCGCGTGTAAATATTGTGAATCCAGTGCCCACAACTCGTGAATCCAAAACCTTCCAAAGTGGCCCCTCACCTCCCAATAGTGACCACAAAGGCCAGCTCGCTTTAGGGTAAGTAACACTTTCCCAGGAACAATCTCGTCACCTCCAGGTGGACCCTCCTGGATATCCACAGGCCTTTATCCTCCTGAGTACTCCACTCCCCGGGTACTTGTATCAGTAGTTCACCTGCAGGTAGCAGCACTGAAGGATCATCAAAGGAGTAAACAGAATTTGATGTACAGCGCTGCCCCCTGGAGGAGGAAACGGATGATCCTTCAGTGCTGCTACCTGCAGGTGAACTACTGATACAAGTACACCCCAACACTAGGATCATATTAAGTGAATAACATAATTCATGCATGTGTATAAAACACTGTGAAACAATTCAATCTATATATATATATACACATATATGTGTATGTGTGTGTATATGTATGTGTGTATATATATATATGAATATATATATATATATATATATATATATATATATATATATAGATTGAATTGTTTCACAGTGTTTTATACACATGCATGAATTATGTTATTCACTTAATATGATCCTAGTGTTGGGGTTAATATTTTTTGATTTATATGTGTGAGCACTAATTATTGATACACCTGTTTTTTTTTACTAAAGTATGTCTATTTATTAATTAGTTTGATTTTATATTGATTTTAGTATTTATTCAGCGCTGCACCATTATTTATTGTTTATTTACACTTTATGGTTGAAGGGGGGTGCTAGCAGCTTAGTGGTAGGGTTTCTTCATTTAAGCGCAGGAGATTGCATTTATTTATTTTTTTCTGCTAAAGGAAAAAAGGACTCCCCTCATATCTCAAGTGCAAATAATTAAAGGGTCAGTCCACAGAAAAATGATTTTTTTTTTTTGGTTGTAGATGGTGTCTGCCACTGGACTCTAGAGCAGTGGAGACGTGTTCTCTGGAGTGACCAATCACGCTTCTCTGTCTGGCAATCCGATGGACGTGTCTGGGTTTGGCAGTTGCCGGGAGAACGGCACTTGCCTGACTGCATTGTGCCAAGTGTAAAGTTTGGTGGAGGGGGGATTATGGTGTGGGGTTGTTTTTCAGGGGTTGGGCTTGGCCCCTAGTTCCAGTAAAGGGAACACTGAAGGCATCAGCATACCAATACATTTTGGACAATTCATTCTCCCAACTTTGTGGGAACAGTTTGGGGATGGTCCTTTCCTCTTCCAACATGAAGCTGTTATAGCTGCAAAGGGCAGGGCCAACTCAATATTGGACCCTATGGACTAAGACTGGGATGCCATTAACGTTCATGTCCATGCAAAGGCAGGTGTCACAATACATTTTGACAATATACTGTATTTCTTGGCATCCATAGAGGTAAGATCTCCTTAATAATATTCAACATCTGTCCTGCTCACCTTTTGGGTATTTCCACTTCTGGTATAGGCCACATAAAATAAAAATCCAGCAGGGATGGTGGGAGCCCCTCATCGTGTGCAGTCAGGTGTGTAGCCTCGGGAACTCTGCACAGGATCTCTCTAAGAGAGTCCATGAGAGATAGAAGAAACTGTCAGAGGGTTTAACTCTTCAGTGCCTATATAAAGCTGAGCTCCAGGATGAGCTTCAAGTTGGTTAACATTTTTACCTTACAGCAAGGAATGCAGGGGGTGGGGCCAAGTCCCACTGACTGTGTCAATAGATGCAGACAGCGAGGCTCAGGAGCTAGTTCCCCGAGTGCCACCATAGAAAGTGTCTTTCTATGGGGCACTTAGCGGAGAAGAGAAGCCAGATGCGCTGGTGGGGACCTGAGAAGAAGTTCAGGGCCACTTTGTGCAATTCCATTGCACAGAGTAGCTAAATATAAACCTGGTTGTTGTTGTTTTTTAAGGAGCCTTTACGTTTCCTCTCCTATTTGGGACAGACCAGCCAAACGTATTTTCAATAAGTAAAGGCAAACCCAAGAAATCTGTATTCTACTTGCTGTGACGTCGCTGTTCCCCTGCAAGCATCTCATCCAGCTCGGGCTGCAGGGAGGAGGAATCTGTGAGGTTCTCTACGTCTCATGACCTAGGTGCAGTGGGTGGGTTTTGTGGGTGTTGCTTTGTGGCGGATACAGCGGATCAGTACTAGTCTTTTACATTTAGGTGCATATATATGTGGACACAGGCACAATTTTAGATTTGTTCAGGTATTTACCAAAATATATCCAAGCTATAGTTATATATTGGATATGGGCTGAAAGTGTGCACTCTCAGGTGTAATTTGAGGGTATGTACATCCAAATTGGAGGAAGGCTTTAGGAATTACAGCTCTTAAGAGTAGCCAGCCCCCCTTTTTCAAGGGACCAAAAGTAATTGGACAATTAAATGAAAAGCTGATTCATGGCCAGGTGTGGGCTACTCCTTTTGTTATTTCTTCATCAATTAAGCTGGTAAAAGGTCTGGAGTGGATTCTAAGTGTGGTATTTGCATTTGAAATCTATTGCTGTGAACCTACATCATGCGTTCCAAGGAGCTGTCCATGCAAGTGAAACAGGCCATTGTAAGGCTTCAAAAATGAAACAAATCCATCAGAGCAATAGCAGCAACATTAGGAGTGGCCAAATCAACAGTTTGGTACATTCTGATGAAAAAAGAACGCACTGGTGAGCTCAGCAACATAAAAAGGCATGTACGTCCATGGAAGACAACAGTGGTGGATGATCACAGGATCCTCTCTGTGGTAAAGAAAAACCTAT